AGTACCCCCAGAGGTTTTGATTTGTTATGAGAACATGGAAGATTTTGCGACTCAACAGATTTAATGTGCATCAGTCACCATTTACTACATGGGGAGTCTTTGGCCGGGGGGATCAAACCCAAGAACTCTTGGACTTGGGCCCAGTGCCCTACTAACCAGGCTGTTCTGACCTAATTAATTCATATTGTAAAATATAATAAAGTCACACTATTTTAACTGATAGAAGAGAGACAAGTGGAAAATATAAAATTACAGAGTGAGCAAATTAGCATGACAAAAAAATATTGATAATTGGTTCACTTCATAGGAAGGTTCTATCCCTTGAGCCATCATGACTCAAGAGTCTAATAAGTTGTGAAAAGTAGGAATGTCTAGAGAAAAGTACTGGAGAAAGCCTGAGCTCACCCCGGGCTACTGAGTCATTGAAAAGGGAATAAGAGCAAATTTAATGATAATTAACATACATGTTTCATTGGGAAGATGCACAAGTTCCCACGCATTGTTTAATTTAAAAAAATTGCATTTAAAATGAAATGTTTTGGCATAATCTTTTGTGTTATTCAAAAGAGAATTTTTCACTCTAAAAAATAGTGTATTTTGCTTTTTTGCTGACTTTATTTTTGTTACTTTTTAGAGCATTTAAATGTAGTGTCAAGTCGACAAAAACGAGCATTTCCGACCCCACATTCATTTTGAGTTTAATCGAGCTGCCAAAGCTACAAAAGCTGCTAGACAGAGCAAGCACAGAGCTACTCAAATGCTTCATGTGGCGTTTCATTCAATAATGACGTCGAATTATGGGCTTGGCTGGACGACTTTTTCGAGACGCTTTCAGGTGATTTCTGTCAAAGAGGCATCGTTAAACTGGTTGAATGTTGAGAGGAAGTCATACACAACAACGGAGAGTACATTATTGATTAAATTGTTATTTTATGTAAAAAAATTAAGTTTAAGTAAAAAAAAATTTTAAAAAAAAAAGCGGAAACGTATGCATTAACCCAATATTATTATAGGTGCCATTATAAAAAAAATTTGATAAGTTATCTTTTTCAATTCTCTTACTACCTTGGTACAAAATATATGAATAGAAGTTTATCTTTCATGCATATTTTTGGTATTAATATTAGACAAAATATTTCTACTAAATCTATCGTAATTAAGGTTGATTATTAATGTCACACTAGAGCTGTGCAATCGGTGACAGCAAATCCTGACAAATTATCACTGAGAACAACTTAGTCAATATTTAAAAGGGTTGGGAAAAAACCCCGAAAAGTAATTAAAATATATGCTTAGTTATCAATAAACCAAGTGAGTGAAAATAAAACAAGTGAAGTAAATTAAAACACAAATTTTGATTTTTACCTTTGTTTCCAACTCTGTTCCTAACTCTTTACATTTACGAACTAAAACACTTGTATCAGATATGTCAGTTGCTTGAAGAAATATGGCGCTGACAGAAGGATCGCAATATCCTTCTACTTCACAACTCCTCTTGAAAGTAAAAGATCAGTATTATGATGGTTATGAATTACTGTAAATTTATATTAATAAAAATATACATTTCAAATAATTATTGAGAGCATTATTGAAACGAATTGACAAACTTAATTTAAAAAAAAAATTTTAAAACAGGGTTGCCACTTAAATTTGGAAGAAAAAAATTTTTTGGCACATGTTATATGCAATATATTAAGAAGAAACACAATTATTGTTCTCCTCTGTGAGCTATTTTGGGCTAACTATACTAGTTTAAATTGCTGGTATAACTTTGAGGAAAAAGAAGGAACAGCTGAACATATTTAATGGTATAATAAATGAAATAATAGCTGAATTATTATCTTTAAATATCCCATAGATTGTTTTTTGAGAGTTCTGAATTTTTCAAAAGACAAAAATAAGAAATAAAATTCCCAGTTTGTAAGGAAAATTTTAAAATTTACAGCATTTTCTCTGTTATTTTAGGTGATTTTTAAATTCCCTGTGGAGTGGCAATCGTGTAAAAAAGATATAGATTATTTAAATGTTATAATAGACAAAGTATTACACAAAAAAGACAAAAAATAAAATACTAATAGTTGAAATAATGTGTGAATAAATTTATTTTTTAAATATGCAATCAAAACTTCATTTATTAAATGTGTTTCTCTCACTTTAAACAAAGGTTTTATTACACAATAATTACACAAAATGAGCCCTGTGCTTATCTTAAGATTAGGTTGAATTTTTTATGGTAAGCGTCAGCTTTTGGATGAAATAGGGTGCATAGCCAGATTTTTCAACAAAAAATAAGCATTGCCATACTTTAACTGACGATAATGATGCTCAATCAATGTTAATGTAGGGTTGCCACTCAAATTTGGAGAAAAAAAATTAACTGTGTTTTCCCTGTACATATTATACACACTATATTATGAGGAAACAAAATCATTGTTTTTGTGTGTAGCTAAATTCGACTAACTATGCTAGTCTTAATTAAAATTTTGAGGGAAAAAAAGGAACAGCTGAACAAATTTAAATAATGCCATAGTAAATGAAATAGTTTAGTATAGCTGAAATATCTTCCCTAAATATCAAATGCTCTTTAAGTGGTCACCTTTTTTTAAAAAAAGACGAAAATAAAAATTGAATTCCCAGTTTGTAAAGAAAGGAATTAGTACGCTTCTCCCCCCAACAAAATTCAAGTATATCGCCTATAATATCAGAATAAAAAAATATTACATAAATCAATTTAAAAAAAGACATTGCTTTTTTTTTTGCAAAAACAGCATTTTTGTTATCTTACATTTGTAACCTACATCTTTGTTATTATTGAAAGTATCTTGTAGAAAGATATTAGCACTAGAGAGTTTTTGTTGCAGAAAACCTAAAAAAATTCTGCCACAGGGAGAGTTACATTTCTACATTGACTATCTCCATCTAATGATATTCTTTGCATTTTTAAAACTATAAATAAAATTACTATACATTACACAGTGGATTGCCCAACTAGTATAAATTAATAAACATTTTCTTACAGAAGTAGACTGACAAGCTTCTTCATTCTAAAGAATAAAAAAAAAAAATAACAATTAAGTACTATTCTTAATAAATTACACATTAAAAAAGATTTCATCATAACACAGCATATTAATCAGATTAGATATCACAAACTGATTAATGAGTAAAAAAAAGAACTTTAAACTATAAGTACAATGAAATATTAAACTGACATTGGTAAATTTAAAGTAATTACTGTTCACTTTAGAGTTATAATTACTTAAATGACACTAATAGTAAATTTCTATAATATAAAAAGCTACTTGAGATTTTCATTAAGGAAATAATTTTGAAAATGAATAAATGTTACATTTAATTTTAAAATGACTTAATATTAACCTCAAAAATATGTTTATTCAAAACCTCAGCAATGAGATGCTCCTTAAATTGAGATGAATTCAGGGAAGTCTTGCCAAATAATGATATCACCACAACTTTCTCATTTTTTACTTTTTCTTCCAAAAAGAATTTTCTAAACATAAAATAAAAATTATTAGTAACAATGGTTTCCAGATGAATTCTCATGTTCAGAAAATGTAATGAAAAAGTAAAACACCATTATATAGATTTTCAAGTAGCAGCAATTTTAAACTTTTAAGAAAAATAAATTCAGTCATGAAAACTGCTTTCTTTATGGAAATGTGCACTTTCAGAAACCCATCTTCAAAGTGGAAAATACAGATAGTAGTTTTAAAGATACTTATTTTGTTAGATTAAACAAAAAATTATTATTAAGTAAATGTAGTTGTAATTTATTAAAGTGTACAAGGTCTCTTGTCCAAGTCTCAAATTTAAAAAAAAAAAAAATTATAATAATTTTTTCAAAAAATAAAACTTAGACCAGTGGTTCCTGAACCTCTTTGTCCCATACACCCCTTGCCATGTTTTTCAGTTTTGGGCAGACCCCCTGCTTAACTGATATTGATTTTTTTGTAAATTCATCAACTTTAAATACATTTTTGACAGCTGGTATAGTGCTATTCATTGTGAAAGATTTAAATTTCTAACTGTAATGAAGCGTAGTGCGAAAAACTTAAGAAAAAAACACACATTAATTTTATGCATTTATTAATTAAATTCAAACTAATTTAATTAATATGTAAATGGAATAAAATAGTGCNGAGCGTTTGTCTTCTAATGCCAGCCATGGGTGGTCAAAATGAATTACGCATCCGACTTGCACCGGCCACTGTGCCGACATAAAATATCCTCAGTGGTAGACGGATTATGGTTTAAAGTCTCCTTGTAGTGAGGCTAACTGTGGAAAACCGCAAAATGATTAGTTCCATAAAATGTCCTTCAGAAATGCAAATTTCTACCAATACTTAATCCAGGCGTTTTCTTGTATTCTGGATTGGGTTCAAAATTACAAAGCTACGTAGTTGAATGTTAGTAGTCGTTAACTCAAAAATTAGGCAGCTGTTCAATCATGGTTATAAAATAAAACCATTTCTGCAGAGATATTATTACAACAATCTTTCTAGAAAAAAAATTTAATTTAAAAAATTGTACCTTTTAACATTGTACCATAATCATGTACCTTTTAACATTGAAAGGAAAATTTATTAAAAGTGCATAAAAAAATTACTTCAATTAAGCCTTAAAATCATAATATTTTTATGTTATAAATTTCTGATTCTTAAAAGAACTATCCTAAGATTCTTGTTAATTGAGTTGAAACTATAGTATGACAATTTAAGTTCGTTAATTTGTGCTTTATGCTGTAGTGTACATAGCACAAAATATCACTTTCTCCTTTCTTGGAAGTATTTTGATAAGACTATCAGGTTTTCCAGATTGATAACATTCTCAGATTTTTCTGCGGTACTCTGATCAGGAACCACAATAATTATTTACATCTTTTTTTGGAAAGAATGCTTCAATATACTTAGAACCACCAATGTTTATGTTTACGGAAATTCTATTATTCTTATTCAAGATTAGAAGGGCAACAAAGAACTTTAGGGCGAAATTATTATGAAGATACTGAATACGAAATCACCCAAATTTTCATTTAAAAAAATTTTCAGCAGAGATCAATAATTCAATTACTTTCAAGCATTTTAAAAAATAATTAAAAGCACGCCTTACTTTAAATCTTTATTGACTAGATCAAATAAACTAAAATCTATAGTGTTTTCATCCTCTGTTGGAGTTGACATCATAAAAATCTTCCAATATTCTTATTAAAAGTAGTAAAATTTAAATAACCAGAAACACCTCATCGGTTATTTAATAACAACACATCTGAAATTGCTGCAAAGAGGAAAATACTGTTTTGAAGCTATCGCCTGTTTATTTCTGCTCCAGTTATGTGTTCTTCACTGAAAGTTAATGATGACAATTGTCTCAGTAGATTACCGAAGTCAAACAACACTGGTTTTGTTGTTGTTAATTTACGTCACACTAGAGCTGTTGTTGTTGTTAATTTACGTTGCACTAGAGCTGCACAATGGGCTATTGGCGACGGTCTGGGAAACATCCCTGAGGATGATCCGAAGACATGCCATCACAATTTTGATCCTCTGCGGAGGGGATGGCACCCCCGCTTCGGTAGCCCGACGACCTGCGCGCGAAGTCGAGCACTTTACGGTAGAACAGTTTAACGAGGACTAATACCGCACACCCTCGGTCCCTACGCAGGCTGATCCAAGTGGTCACCCACCCCCACACTGACCGCAGCCAGTGATGCTTGACTTCGGTGATCTGCTGGGAACCGTGTCTTAACGATCAGTCCACTGCGGGACACGTAATTTGGGAAGAATACCTTTCGATTCCATGTTTCAATCCCTCCCCTTTATCCCTCTTCTCAGTTGTATTGGACTGTACTACGATATTTTCTCCTTTCTTAACATTTTTCCGTATTTATTTACCACAAATATTTTTTTAAATTTCCATTATGCTTTTTTTTTGGAACTATGTTCAATGTAGTTTTCAGTTCCATGCAATTTCCAAGTGCAAAATTTTTTAATCTATTTGAAAATCAAGACTGAAGCTAATGTACTTCCTTCTCCTATGACTCTCCACACTCTAAGATAAAGGTATGCTTGACCATCCTCCTTCACTCTCCTTCTCTTATCAGTTGCTCTACGATATTTTGATACATATCTACGCACGTATTATATTACTACATATCTACGATATTTTCCCCACTCTTAAAATTTTTTGATTTCATTGACAAAAATATTTTTTTCAAAATTTCCACGATGCTTTGTTTTAAAACTATGTTCAATGTAGCTTTCGATTCCATATAATGTTCCCTAATTTAAAATTAGCTAACGGCTTCTTTCTCCAATGACTCATCACACCCTAATGTAATGGTGAAAGCATGTAAAGTGTTGTCATTGGCGATCGCAACACTCGGATACGCCAGGGAGAGACCGGTTTCATGCCTTCAGCCCATCTCCCTTCCCTCTCCCCCTCTTTTCAGTTGTATAGGAATGTACTACGATATTTTCCCTTTTCTTATATTTTTCCTTTTTATGTAATAAAAATA